CTATTCAGGTTGAATTTTCCAACCCTGCAAAACTTTTTCCAGAATTACCAAATTCATTCAATTTATAATGAAGAATAAATATAATTTATCATAATTTTATTTTATTTAAATTTATACAGAATTACTTAGTTAATTAATCAAATGAATAATTAATTACTTTCATTATCAATTTTGTAATCATGGCTCTTTTCAAAAGATCGCTGTCTAAATGCATAACCATACAAGTTAAGTTTTAGTAGAAGATTCCCCTTGAACAAATACTTAACTTGTAATTTTAAAGCGATTTTCTCTATTATTAGATGTCTAAATTTAGTAAAGTTGAAAATTATTAAAACTCTAAGTTACAAACATTCCAATCCATCTATAAATAGGGGCAATTTATTTTTCAATCATCCTTAATAAACCACTATTTACTTAACTTAGCTAGGTCATGAATTGAAATATAAATGGCTTATCATGTTAGCCCCAAACTACTTTAAAAAAAGAAAAGTTTGTGCCTTGATTTTATAATGGATAATGAGTTGATAATCTATTTGAAAGTTTCAATTTTAAAATTGTGGCAATGATCACCTAAATTTGAGTATGAGAACTACTTTTGATGATTAACAATCTAAAAGATTTTAATGTAACAATCATCTCTTATTATAACAAAAGAAACTATATAACCGTAAAAGAGCAAACACAAAAAATCATTGACATATTGCCATTTGATCATTTTTTATGAGTTCAAAGCATAAAGAAGATATAACTGAAAATATTGTAAAGATAGATGCTTTTTGAATATTTGAATTGTCAACAATTTTTAAGAATGTATTTAAAATGTTATTAATTTAAATAATGAATGTTGAATCATTTAAATACTTGATTTAATATCTCTACCTTGCATTTATCACGTAGATGTACACATGGATACAAATCTTTGGATGTATCAATGGTGAGAGTCTAAAAAGAATAAATTGAAGTTGATACAAATGATTCATTTGTAGATTACTTTGTCCATTTCACATACTTCTTTTCCATATCCACTTCAACAATTATGATATCATTTCTTGAAAATGGAAATGTTATTTATTTCCCATTTTTATCTTATTAATCATGATTATAACAATAACCTTCAGAATAAATATTATATGTTCTATGTTGAACTATTAATATCATAACACATACCCTCCATCAATACTATAACAATGATCATAATTCTTACTCTACACAATATCCCTAAAACCAATTCCAATCATAAGATAAGATAATTCAATGATTTTAAAAGCAAATTAGATCTTTCCATTCTTAGGAATCATTTAATCACACATACAACAATACCAAAAACCTGAATTATTCTCAATAACTTTTCCATTCTAAGTTACTGAACAAGTATTATGCTTATAAGTTGTTGAGAAAGTTAGATATTTTGATAATTAGCAATCTTACTTCTAATAAAGATATTAATTATACCAAAGTTTGTTATAATGATTTAACAATTTCTTCATTCTTTTGAATTGATTGTTAGCATCTTTCTAAGTCTCCTTCTTTTCTTAAAGTTTAACTTCAAATGATATTTCTATAAGAAATTAAATACAATGTAGTTTTACTTTATTACTCAAATTCTTTTAGTTTAATTGACAATTCTTGCTTTTCATTCTTTAGATCTTAAATAATCTTAATTTATTCTTCATCATGTTTCTTAAAGTCAATTATCATTTATTCATTTAATTAAATAGTCGTTTCGTTTTATTTAATTTACTCTAATAAGGATTCTTTATCTTGTTTATTTTAATTTAGTTCATCTTAAATTTTATCAAACTAAGTTATTTTTATCATTAAACCAAAATCCTTTTCTAATTACTATTAAGTCTATTTTAATAAAAATAATATTTTATAAATTTCGGTTAAATATATAAATCTTAATCACTATAAAATGAAAATTACGCATAACTAAATCAATTTATCATTAAAAGATTCGCTTAACTTTAATAATAGATTTGAAAACTATCAGAATTTAATCGTATTAATACATCAAAGGTTGTAAATAGAAATAGATTTATTGTAAACACCGAAAATTTGCTCCTAACAACGGAATAAATAATACCTGAAATAACAAAAGCCATTTTTTTTGCTGCTCCTTTAGTTCTAATACTTTTACATAAATATATAGATTATATTCAATTCAAATACAAAGAAAATTCTATTACCACTACAATTATTTTGGAATCCTTAAAAATTAAATTAATTTCTTAATTAAAGCATTATTATAGTTTAATTGGTGCATTTAAAGAAGTTCACATCTATAGATATTAAAATTTAACATAAAATATATCAACCTACGTCAGAAATAATAAAAGTCATAACTAGCGCTTGCTAAGCTTTAATTTGAAAATGTGATACAATATTAATCAAAAAATTAAATAAATTATTTAATAGAGATCAATTAAGTGCAACGTTTATCAATGCAATTTATATTCTAAGGTAAACAATTGAGAGATAAAAAACCAAATAAGAAATTTATCTTAATCAAAATCAAATATATAAAAATATTAGGATAATGGAAATTAGTTTTTTTTCCAATTCAATCCTGATGATTAGACTAAATATTTATAAAATTCCTTCCTTTACATTTCATTAGCAAGATCATTCTTTAATTTCAAAATAATTAAATTAGCAGGTTTATCTTTCAAATTATCCCCTATATCCCTTTATAATAACTTGAAATAGATTATTTATTCATTTATTCTTAAACATTCATCAAAATTTAGTTGTGTTATGATAATATGACCTGTTTTAATAGGAAAACATTATCAGTCATCCCATAGCTATTGTATTATTTGTTGAGAGATTCTTCTTATAATTTTCATTTTATAATAAAGAAAAAATTAACTACTAGAAAAGATGTTTACCTGGATAGAAAGTAGAGTCTAACAATAGAACCTCTCTGTGAATTATTATTAACTAAATAGGGGGGGGGACTTTACCTAATATCATACTTAAGACTTCATCATTTACTCAATATTGTAATATAGATTTTAAAGCTTAGTGCTCATATCATGTTTATTCTATTTCATTTAATGACCATCATAGTTTTTTGGTCGCCTCATCGTCATTTTCTTAAACAAAAAAATACCCAGTATAAGATGTCGCTTAAAAACAAATCCATCTAAATATTGTGCTCAACAACCGGCTTCGGATTCTTCTGTGCCTCAGAGTATAAATCGAAAGTATAAGGTTATCCATTATTTTTAATTTTAATTTTAATCCCCTTCTCATATATTTTTTGCGCTTAAGTCATGAATTCAAATTTTAACTTCTTTGTAGAGTATGCTTGCTTTTCCCTTCTATAACCCTTGGATTATTTCTCATTCCCCTATAATCCTTGCTGAAAACATAGATCAGTCCCAGTTTATCCTGTATTCCTTATTTTACTATAGGCTGAGAATGATGGTCTCAAAAATAAATCTGCCAGTCATTTTTACTTGCCACATTGAGGTTATCATCGTTCAATAGGGAGAACTAGACTCACCTCGTTTCAAAACAGATTATGTATCTATGTTTCATATCCTTATTAGTTGTTATATTTGCAAACATTTAAAAACAAAGTATTTAAAAATTTTAAATTACATATTTATAACAAAAAAGTCTTAAACCTGGCAATTTAAAGGTTTAATTATTATTTTTAATTTTTTAAATTTGAAAAATATACAGAAACCCACAAAGGAATGCAATTCAAAAGCACTTCTGAAAATTATAAATAATTATATTTGACGCATTAATATTTGATAGAAATACAATATCATTACCATGTTCTATTTACTTAAAAATTTAAAACTCGTCATAACAGTTCTGATTCAATAGAATTTAGATTCGGATTCCCTTAGTTACATTATGGCTTTAAATTTAAAACTAATTTGAATTCAATAATTTTAGATTACTAAGAAATAATGTTTGCCCCTTATTTTTAAAATTCCTACTTTCCTATTCTAATTACAATTTTGCTCCCATCACTTTATCCTTTTCCTTTGAATTTATTAAGTATTAATTAACATTAAATGGTCCCATCATTACTATTATAATTCTCAATAATCATTATTAGAGCATATAGTAATGTGTAAGATTTCCTTTGTGATCAATTTGAAGATAATTTTAAATGTTAATTCAAAATATAACATTTTTTGATGAACGAATCATTAATATTAATTTGATTTTTAGAGACCAAACTTTAAATTAATGTAGTATAATATTTCAAAAAAAATTTTTATTAATTGATTTTTGTTGTATATATTACCTTCGCGAGTTATTAAGAAAGATAATCATTAAAAATTTTTGGCCTAATTCTTAGGGAAAAGCTGAGGACAATTTTAACATCTAAGGAAGTAATTTATATTAAGAATACAAGAAT